ATGGATCGTAGGTTGTTTTTAGTCTTTCTCTATTGCAAACACCTGCAGTAATTACCTCCTCCCTGGGCTCAACCAGTTTTAACTCCAACTGGCTGTGGTTGAAAGTGTGTTTCCCACCCAGCCAGTGTGGCTCAGTGGTTGAGCATCAACCCATGAACCAGGAGGTCACAGTTTGATTCCCGGTCAGGGCACATGCCCAAGTTGCAGGCTCGATCCCCAGTAGGGGGCGTGCAGGAGGCAGCCAATCGGTGATTCTTTCTCATCATTGATGTTTCTAACTCTCTCCCTCTCACTTCCTCACTCTGAAATCAATAAAAACATACTTTAGCCCTAACCGGTTTGGCTCAGTGGATAGAGCATTGGCCTGTGGACTCAAGGGTCCCAGGTTCGATTCTGGTCAAGGGCATATACCTTGGTTGCGGGCACATCCCCAGTGGGGAGTGTGCAGGAGGCAGCTGATCGATGTTTCTCTCTCATCGATGTTTCTAACTCTCTATCCCTCTCCCTTCCTCTCTGTAAAAAATCAAAATATATTTTTTAAAAAACATACTTTAATAAGAAAAAAATGTGTGTTTTCTCACAAGCCTCCCCAACAATGTTTCATCAAGCTTTGTGATTGCTGCCAATCTGAAGAGTAAACGATGTTGCCTGATGTAATTTCAACTTACCTTTCGCTCACTGTGACTGAAATGCCATTTCCATTTCTACTGCATCCTTTACCCATTTTATTCCTGTTGTTATTGATCTTTTTGTTCATTTTCTAGAAACTCCTTATTTATGACATTGCAAACATATCCCCCAAGTTGTGGTTTGGTTTTCTTATAATGGTATTTGCGATGCAGATTTTCTTAAATCGATCTTTTTGGGGGAGGGGGGACCTTCTTTATTATTTTCATTAATTATCTCATGGTTTCTTCTAGTACTTTTTAGTTCCATATTCTATGTTTATATCTCTGATCCATCTAGAATTCATCCTTCTAGAACAGGGGTGGGCAAACTTTTTGACTCGAGGGCCATAATGGGTTCTTAAACGTGGACTGGAGGGCCGGAACAAAAGCATGGATGGAGTGTTTGAGTGAACTAATATAAATTCAAAGTAAGCATCATTACATAAAAGGGTACGGTCTTTTTTTTCAATAGTTTTATTCATTTCAAACGGGCCGAATTCGGCCCGTGGGCCGTAGTTTGCCCACGGCTGTTTTAGAAGGTGTGAGGTAAGGATTCATTTTTATTTTTTTCCTAAAAGAGTACCCCATATTTGAAAAACTTATCTCCCCTTCTCTACTGATTTGAATTGCCAACCTTATTATTTTTAACTTTCCTTATGTAACTGACTCTATTTCTGGATTTTCTATTCCTTTCCAATAACTTTTCTATCTGTTCATGTGCCAATTCTATAATTTTTAAAGTTTTTTTTATTGATTTTAGAAAGGGAGGAAGGGAGAGAGAAAGAGAGAGAGACATTGTTGTGAGAGAGACACATCGATCGGTTGCCTCTCACACCCGCCCTGACTGGGAATCGAATCCATGACCTTCTGCTGCAGAGGATGATGCTCCAACCTACTTAGCCGCACTGGCCACGGCCTATAATGCTTTAATTATCCAAGCTCTGTTTGTTTTTGTTTTTTTGTGTGTGTTTTTAAATATATTTTACTGATTTTTTACAGAGAGGAAGGGAGAGGGATAGAGAGTTAGAAATATTGATGAGAGAGGAACATCGATCAGCTGCCTCCTGCACACTCCCCACTGGGGATGTGCCCGCAACCAAGGTACATGCCCTTGACTGGAATCGAACCTGGGATCCTTGAGTCCGCAGGCCGGTGCTCTATCCACTGAGACAAACCGGTTAGGGCATCTATTTGGTTTTAATTACTGGCAAGGCTACCCTTGCCTAACTCTGCCCTTTCAAAATTCTCTTGGCCATTATTTTTTTTTAATCCTCACCTAAGGACATGCTTAGAGGAAGGGAGAGAGAGAGAAACATCTATCGATTGCATTTCATTCTGGCTCCAACCAGGGATCATATCCACAACCCAGGTAAGGGCCCTGACCGCGAATTGAACCGCAACCTCCTGGTTCATACATCGACGCTCAACCACTGTGCCACACCGGCCCGGTTCGTCTATCCAGTATTGAATGCACAGGGCCTTGTGACATGGGCACCATTATTACCATCTCCATTTTTCACTCAAGGAAACTCTGAGAGTTAAGTTGCCTGAGACCACTCAGTACTGGAGCCTTTCATTCAGAGTGAGCTACCCAGGGGGACGGGTGGCAACCACTGGACCCCAGTGCTGGACCTGGAGCATTAACGGCCCCTCCTCTCTCCCTTCTCCCCTAGGCCTGCAGGACAAGCTGAACAAGAGGGACAAAGAGGTGACGGCCTTGACGAACCAGACTGAGATGCTCAGGGCCCAAGTAAGTGGTAAGTCTCCCTCCCGCAGGGCAGATGCGGGGGCTTTCCTCGGGGCCACGTGCCAGTGGAGCGTGGAGAGGGTTGGCATCTGGGCCAGGGTAGCAGCTTCCTGCACTCCGCCTTGAGGAGGAGGTGGCCTGGGCCAGTTCACCTACACAGAACTTACGTGGGCAGCAGGGAGTGGGGGGGTAGTAGCCCTTTCATGGTCCATAATAGAATCAGGGACCCCCGCCAGCTTCTCTCACCAGCGGCCACTCTGTTCTGAATACCAGGACTTTTTAGTTTCTCAGGCCACTTGGACACAGTCTATCGGCTAGAGGAAATACCAGGGTTTTAGAATCGGGGGAAGGGCACAGGCTGCAGCAGGGAGCAAGGCACAGGGGAAGTGAGGACGGGGGAGCCCGGGTGAGGCAGGGCGTCTGGAATTTGTGACTTGGTGACAAACGGGCCCTGCTTCTTGTCTGCCACAGTATCAGTGGTGGTGTCTGTGAGATGGCCCCTGTGCTGGGAAATGGCTCCCACCCAACCTCTCTCCAGTTCCCATCATGTTCCTATGGCCTAATTGGTTCCAACAAAGGTCAGCTGACCTCAGTTCCTCCAAGGCAAGGGTGAAGCTAGGCTAGAGCCTGCCCCTGTTCAGGCAGGAGTAGAATGCCGTGCCTGTCTCGGGCGGACTGCTTCCCACCACCACAGGGCCCGGGCTCTGTGCTTGGGGTCCCAGTCTGCTTTTTGTGGCTGTTCTCTCCGGCCCTGACTGCCTGGCTCTGCAGGACCTGAGAGACCCACTCAGTGGAGTGTGTCCCTGTGAACACCCCCCCCACCACCACCCTCCGAGAAAACTGGCTCCCTGCCCGGGCGCTCTGGTGGGACAGATTCCCACGGCGATCCTGACCCCCCCCTTCTTTCCTGCTGGCTGACCCTCAGCGCTGGAGAGCAAGTGCAGGTCGGGGGACAAGAAGGTGGACGTCCTCCAGAAGGAGAAGCGGCGCTTGGAGGCCGAGCTGGAGGCCGTGTCCCGGAAGACCCACGACGCCTCGGGCCAGCTGGTGCTCATCAGCCAGGAGCTGCTCAGGAAGGAGCGGTGCGTAGCGGGCGGTGTGCTCGGACCCGCCGGGCCTACCACCCAGCTGCCCTCCCTCTGCCTGACCCTCACCCCGCCTGACATTAGCCCGTCTTCTCCGGAGGTGGGCGAGGATGGCCTGGGTAGGACAGGTGGCTGGCATCACCAGGGGTCTCTGTGCTCTCCTCTGAGCTCAGGGGGGGGGCTCAGAACCCTCCCTCACACGGTGCTTCCTCCAAGCAGAGCTTACGGGAAAGACGTGTGGTTCCCAAGCTTCCTGGCCTTCACTGCTGCCTTTAAACTCTTAAAGTGTATTGAGGATTCCCAGGGAGCTTGTGTGTGTTTATTCTGTATTTGTCATATTAGAAGTTAAAACTGAGGAGTGTAAAAATATTCATGAACTCATTTAAAAATAATAAACCAAGTGCATGTACCATAAATAACATGCTTTTGATAAAAAGTAACTGTTTTCCAAAACAAAAAAAAATTTCATGAAAAGAGGGGCATTGTTTAACATTTTGTATTCAGTCTTTGCAGTTTGTTGTTTTAGTTGAAGCATATTATGAAAATCCGGCCTTACAGTGATTTGTAGTTAGAAAAGAATGTATGTTAATATTGTTTTCCGATCACTAATATGCTACATGACCCCAAGAAAAAATTCATTGTATGTGCATGAGAAATGAAGTGAAAATAGTTTTGACCCATGGACCCCTTGAAAGGGTCTTGGGGACCCCTGAGGGTTCCCCATGTCACACTTTGAGAACCACTTGGTTCCAGTTTATAGACATGGTTTGTGTAACCCATATGAGGCTTTAGGGGGGGAAAACACCTAGATGAGCATTTAAAAAATCAGAAGATTGCACATAAAATCTAGATTTCTCCAGAAGTTCTGACAACAATAGGCTGACTCCCAGCATAGTAACAACCAGTCCTTGCTGGGGAGCGCCTGCACGCTCTCAGTGGTCAGGGATGTCTCGTGTCCCCCGTCCTCTACCCCCTTCATCATTTTACTGACACCCCCTTATGGGCATGGTTTGCCAGACCCTGTAAACATCTGAGGTGCATCCTCCGATTGAAAGGAATCTTGTTAAAGTACAGGCACCTTTTTATAAAGGAAACCGTGTCTCTTCCCTTCCCCTGCTGTTCAGTCTGATGACACACTGGGAGCTTCTGTGCTAGATTTGCTTTAAATTTAGCACCTCTCTAGAAAATGTGGCCCTTCCCAGGGGGGAGGGAGGCCAGTGCATGGGGAACGTTCCTTCCCAGCATGAACTCACAGCCCGGCGCTCCGTCAAGGCCCCACTGCTGTCCTGCCCCCATATCCTCCCTGTCCAATCAGATACTTTTTCTCAGTGCTCAGCCCAGTCTTGCCTCCTCTGGGGAGTCTGTCTTCCTCTATCCACAGGCTCATTTCCTCCTCTGTCCCTCAGCACTTACTCACTTGCTACCTTCTTCTCTTTGGACATTTCCCTCTGTCCAGTCCATTCTCGAGGCTTAGCTCTCAGCCCCTCTCCTTTGAAGCCTTCCTTTATCGAAGTCGGCCCCCACTAGCGCCTCCACGCGCCTGTGATGCTGAGGATGGGAGTGGGAGGTCAGCTAGGAGCGTGCTGGCAGATTAACCAGTAGAGATTTACTTTGCTCACAGAACAGGAACCTGGGAGTAGCCATGGATGACGGTTCAGTAGCTAAAAATATCAGTGCTAAGTGATTGGTTCTCTTGGACTCTTCTCCTGGTTGCAAAGTGGCTGCTGGAGCTCCAGCCATCACATCCACAGCAGGAAGGAGGAGGAAAGGGGCAGTGCCGGTGGACTTCCACTTTGTTCTCAACTCCCCATGGCCACCTAGTGAGGGAGTTTCCCTCTCCCCTATAGTAGTTGCGGGGAAGGGAAAAGGCGTAGAAGGAGTGTGTCCTGTTCTCAGCCTGTGCCCGTTGCAGACATCGCTCACTGACTGCCGCACTCTTTTCCGCAGAGCCTGGCTGTGCCTGAGAGTCATCCTCATCACAGTGTTCCAGGCAGCTACTGCCAGCTGGCTAAGGGTTGACACAGGAAAGAAAACTCCTCTGATTTCAGCCGTTTAAAATGTCTCGCCTCATGGGTGCCCTTGGATGAATATTTTGTGTGCTTTGCTTAATTTTTTAGTTAAACAAATTTTCTCTTTTAAAAGACAACAACTTTAAAAACATTCTAGGAAAGGCCAAGTCCTCTTCACTGTTCCATCCCTAAATCCTGGTCCCTCTTGGGCTGTGGTTGCATGATTTCATGCCTCATGTTTCCACTCTGGCCCCTTCTGGCGCAGGTGCTGTTTTAATAGCCAGTCTCCCCATCAGAGTAGCCGTCTAGGCATTTGGCAGATAGCTGGAGTGTGGGAGTGACTGTAGCTGTTCTGTGTCCCCCCCCCCCAACCCTCCCCCAGGAGCCTGAACGAATTGCGGGTATTGTTGCTGGAAGCCAATCGCCACTCCCCAGGGCCCGAGAGGGACCTGAGCCGTGAGGTCCACAAGGCTGAGTGGCGGATCAAGGAGCAGAAACTCAAGGACGACATCCGGGGCCTTCGTGAAAAGCTGACTGGGCTGGTATGTCGGGGCAGGGGAATGTGAGGGTGGGACTGAGGCTGCTCTGCTGTCAGGCCAGGAGAGTGGTGACCTCCTGGAGCCATCCCGGGAACCGCCAAGCCTCTGAGAATTCACAGTCCCCTAGAACCACAGGGTCATGATGTAGCTCGTGGAGGGGTCACGGCAGCTGCTTTTGCAGGCATCGTGGCTGGCTGCCATGTGGCAGTCTAGGTGATGCAATGCAAAGGATACTGTCTAAGAATCTGACCTATCCAGAGGTAAGGTGGGCTATGCAGGGTGGTGAGCTCCCCGCCCAGCGAAGTAATCAACCAGAAAGCAGCTCCTTGTTCAGGGTCCTGCAGGGGGATTCACACATGAATGTCAGGAAGAAGGGGGCAGTGTGTCTCCAGAGACCATCCTGGGTGGGGCAGCTGTGTCCTGCTGGGTAGGGGAGGAGGAGTAGAGAAGTCACTGTAGGATGGGGTCTGGGGTCAAGAGGAGGGACATATAAGACAGTGTGGAGGGATAGGGAGAATCAAGAAGGAAAGAGGAAGGTGCCTGGATTTGGGGACTCGGAGGATGTGAAGCATCTGACAGAGCCCATTTCAGTGGGGACCCTCAGGTGAGGGAGGGGGGCCGAAGGAACATCCCCGTGATGCTCGGGCCTGGCCCAGAGATGGGGTGGGGCCAGGAGAATCTTCTGCCTGGAGGAGGTCCCCCTCCCCTAACACATGCGCACTGCACCCTCACATGCTTTTCCTTTCTCCGGCCACTTCTAGGACAAAGAGAAGTCGCTGTCGGATCAGAGGCGCTACTCCCTCATCGACCCGTCCTCAGCACCTGAGCTCCTGCGGCTGCAGCACCAGCTGATGAGCACAGAGGACACCCTGCGGGATGCTCTGGACCAGGCTCAGCAGGTGGAGAAGCTCATGGAGGCCATGAGGAGCAGTCCCGACAAGTCCCCGGTGAGCCATGGGCCAGGGCTGGGCTGACCAGGCACGCCAGTGGGCAGAGTCCTCATGGAGCAGGGCCCTATCCTGGGAACCCCTGTCTGCAGGGGAAGGCAGCCCTGTCCTCAGACACCTAGTCTTCAGGGGGAGGCAGCCCTCTCTATCCTGGGAACCCTGGTCTAGGGGGAGACACAGGCATGTGCTCTGAGAGCCCCAGCCCAAGGGTACATGGCTTTGCCATGAGGGTCTCAGACCAAGGGGAGAGATGCAACCTTGCCCTGAGAGCTTCGGTCTACGGGTCCTGGGACCCCCATTCAGAACAGCTCTGACCAGTTTGAGCTCTGATCAGTTTGGAGCCCGAGAGGATCCTATCAAGAAGACATCGCCATCTAGTGGACGAACGAGGAACTGTTGTCTGGTGAACCTCACTCAGCATCTGCCCCTGACTCTTACAGGCCATCGGCAATTCGGGTTCTGCAAACGGCATCCACCAGCAAGAAAAGACCCACAAACAAGAGGTAAGGAGCTCTCTGGTCCCGGCGGACACCGTGGCACTCCCACTGCACAGGCAGAACAGAACCTGACAAGTCACCAAAAATACAAACAAAGATGCATCATGCAAAGGCTTCACAATAGAATCTCTCACAGAGGAACCCATGCAGTCCATCTTGATTCAGAATTCCTCTTGCTTTTTAACCTTGTTTCCCTGTTTTTTTTAAAAAAGTGTTTATTATAAAGTAATACATGCCCCTTGGGAAACTTTTGGGGAAAAAAACAAAAATACATAAAGAAGAAAATACTAGTAGCCCTCCCACTCAGAGATGACAAAGGTTAGTGTTTTTGTAAGTGGCAGCCTTCCTGAACTTTCCTAAGTGTGTGTATGTGAACACATGTATATGTACCATCAAGCCTCATTATTCAGTTTCCATATTAGCAAATTTGCAATTAAAATGTATTTGTAACCCCAAAGTCAGTATTTGCAACAAGTTTGTGGTCACTTATGGACGTGTGCAGAGCAGAGGAAAATCTGAGTTGCCCGACCTGCATGTTCCCAGCCGAGGGGTAACAAGGCTGCGCTCTCCCTTCTTGTTCCAGCTCTCATACTGCAAACGTGTCCTTTTTGAAATCTATTTAGTGCCACCTTTTTCACATTTTTGTGCTTTTACTTGGTGATTTCTGCTGTTTACAGTGACCCCCAACTGATGGCTGTGTGCCCTACAAAGAAAATCTGTGTGTTAAATAAGCTTCGTTCAGCCCGGACGATGTGGTTCAATGGTCGAGTGTTGAACTATGAACCATGGAGGTCACAGTTCGATTCCCGGTCAGGGCACATGTCCCGGTTGCAGGCTTGATCCCCAGTGTGGGGCGTGCAGGAGGCAGCTGATCAGTAACTCTCACCATTGATGTTTCTCTCTGTCCCTCTCCCTTCCTCTCTGAAATCAATGAAAATGTATTTGAAAAATAAATAAATAAGCTTTGTTCAGGCGTTGAGTTCTACAGTAAGTCCTCACTTGAGATCATTAGTGGGTTCTTGGAGATTGCAACTTTACGCAAAATGACATATAACAAAACCAGTTTTACGATTGGCTAATTGATATAAACAAGGGTTAAGTTCCCATGGCATATTTCTGGTCACAAAAACATCACCAAACTTCTAAATAAGGACCCCAAACACTTCTAATATTAAACATTGAAGTAAATGTGAGCTCTACATACATTTAAGAAGAATAAAAATAGGTAAGATCATTATATTCCTACTTGCTTATTCCAGTTCAGGATCACAGGTGGCTGGGTCTCTCCCAGCAGCTCAGGGCACAAGATGGGACCCACCTGGACAGGACGCCCTTCCATCACAGCGCCACTCACACCCACACCCACGCGGACTGGGACAGTGTAGACACGGCAGTTTATCTCACATGCACGTCTTTGGAATGTCGGGGGAAACCAAAGCCCCCAGAGAAAACCTACGCAGACATGGGGAGGATGTGCAAATGCCACACAGACAGTGGTCCCGGCCAAGAATTGTCACCATTATAACAAAACGATGTTATTTGAAGACCTGCTGTATTGTTGGCCTTGAGTTGTTAATGAGTCAACAGCATGTGTTAAGTAAGATGTCTTTAACAGAATCACACATAAAACATGGTTATGTAGGATCAGTTGACTAAAACGTCCTGATCAGAGGTTTGAGGGAACTTAAACCCATATTTCCACCTGGAGCAGTGGCTCGGTATTCGGTAATTCAGTGCAGGTGATGACTTTATAGAACATAACTACTGTGAATAATGAGAAGCTGCTATATGTGTATGTATATGCATGTGTGAGAACATTCACTTTGTTTGGAAATCATTTCAAAATTACCAAAAAACTGCAAGAATAAAAATAGTACCTGGCATGTCATCTACCCTTTCCCACGATGCATTGTAAGCATGCTGCCCTGTCTGTTTCATCTTTTGCTCTCTATGTGTAGATGTGTGTGTAGTAATGCCTGTAATTTTTTTCTGAACCATTTCAGTATAATAGCATGTCTTGGCCCTAAACACTTGGCTCTGTATTTTCTGAGTAAAAGGACATGATTATACATAACAACAGTGCAGTTATCAATTTCAGCAAACGTAACATTGATGTAAGATTTGTATCCAATCTACTCTCCATATCCATTTTCCCCTCTGTACAGGATTTGTCACAGGTTCAGTCAGCTTATTGCACTTAGCTGTTATGTCTTCTTAGTCTCCTTTAATCTGGAACATGTCCTCAATTTCTCTTTGATTTTTATGATATTGACGTTTTTGAAACATAGTCCCCACTCCTTTTTAAAATATATATATCTGTATTGATTTTTAAAGAGAGAGGAAGGGAGGGTGAGAGAAACAGAAACCGATGCGAGAGGAATATCCGTCAGCTGCCTCCTGCATGCCCCCCAACCTTTTTTAAATAGAAGATTCCTCATTTGAGGTTTGCTGGCGAGTCCCCGTGATCTGAGGGCTGGAACGCTTCGTCAATGTCGTGTCCTCCGGCATCCCGACTGGGCGCATGATGTCCATCTGCCCTTCCCTCCTGATGGGCATTGTGATCACCTCGTCCAGGAGTTATCTGATTTCTCCACTGCGTAGTTACTGGCTCTTTTCTAACAGTCAGTCTGTGGGGACTGTAGGGCCCTGTGGATACCCTCTCACTGAACCCCTCCCCTGGAATTCCCATCCGTGGATGACTCTGGCCTCAGCCAGTCTTTACTGTGATGGTTGCAAAGCAGCACATACATCATTTTAATAGAGAAGGTCTCACACTATATTCAATTTCACCTCCTGTATTTTCCACTGAACATTTTAAACATCAGCATGTTTAAGCAATCTCTGTTAAGCCTACGTTTTCTAACATTATGGGTATAAAATTGGTTTTCTAGAACTTCATGGGCCTAAAGGTGCCTGTGACTCCTGTTATTGTCATGTCTTTGGTTGACTATTGTGTTTGTTTTTTTAAAAATATATTTTATTGATTTTTTACAGAGCGGAAGGGAGAGGGATAGAGAGTTAGAAACACCGATGAGAGAGAAACATCGATCAGCTGCCTCCTGCACACCTCCTACTGGGGATGTGCCCGCAACCAAGGTACATGCCCTTGACCGGAATCGAACCTGGGACCCTTCAGTCCGCAGGCCGAAGCTCTATCCACTGAGCCAAACCGGTTAGGGTGACTGTTGTGTTTTAAGAGGGTGCCTGGTGGCCCCACCCCACAGTTAACACCTGCTTTTACCCACAGTGTTATAGGCACCCACCTGGGGCCCGCTGCCAGCCCAGTAGGTGGGAAGAGCCCAGCACTGGCTCTGTCCCTGGTTTGCTATGTGACCCTGGGCAAGTGAGGCTGGAGGAACTCTCCTTCCACCCTGGACAGGAGAACCCCTGGGCACACATGCTCACCTGGAGATAGGAGAACCTTGGACATAGACTCTGCCAAGGGCCAAGGAGAGAACTGGGTGGGGAGGGGCACAGAGCTTAAGCGGGGAGTGTCAGGGTATGAGAGCCAGCCCTGTGTGGCTTCATCTACCCTGTGAGGCACAGGGCATCCCAGTTTGCAGGCATGAGCACCAGGGCTTGGAGTCTCACCTCCAATTTTTATTTTCTTGGATCCAACCTCCACACAGGAACGCAGGGCTCTGTACACCCACCTGCTCTTGCCTCTTCTCCTCAACTTCCCCTAACAGCTCCCACCCTCCCTCCTATCTCACCGTTCTTCAACACTCAGCAAAGAGACTTTTTTCTGCCCCAGGGCCTTTGCCCATGCTGTCCCCTCTACCTGGCACCAGTGGGTTCTCCTCCCCCAACCCCTCCTTTTTACCTTCTCCCCTCTGCCACTCCTGACGACACTTGCTGATCAAGCCCTTGCTCTCTCCAGGACAAGCACTGACCCTGAGGGCCATCATGGAGCAGCCCCGTCCACACCGGAGCCACTCCTTTCTTCCCCAGTGGCGCCCCCTCCAGGCAGCGGCCAGGACTGTTACTTTGGAGACAAGAACAGTATTTGTAACAATAATGTACTTACCGTCTGGACAATCCCCACCCTCAACCCCCTGCCGGACCAGGAGGCTTCCTCAAGCACGAACTTCCACAGAGAGCGGTACAGCCCGGAACCTGCAGCCCTGACGCCCAGGACACCCAGCAGCTTCTGGAATGTGTTTGGGGGAGGCTGAGGCTATCCGACCAGGCCCTCTCCCCAGAACAAGCTGCCCTGGGACCATCCTGAGCTCGTCCCTACTCTCCCTTTCTTCCCTTCCTTCTCCAGGGTCCCCCTCGGATCCCAGAGAACCATGGTCCCAGGAAAGGTCAGAGGATGCCCAGGGTCTCCTTGCAGGCACCAAGGAGCGAAGTCCGGGCCTCGGGAGCCACTGAGGACCCCTTTTCTGCACCCACTTCCAGGCAAGGCAGCTCCCAGGGCTGCTTGTCCCCACATCCTGAGCCTCCTTCAAGCAGTGGCACAAGCTCCCCTTAGCCTGTCTGCCCAGTGAGTCCCAGGTTCAAGGTGTTGGGGTGCAAGGTCCTTCCCCCCCAATACCAACATACACACACAACTCCAAGCTGCTGGCCAGAGGGTGGCTGCCAAGGCCAGGAACACAGTATTAAGAAAGTGGGAGCCCTGTCCTCACCCCCACACCGACCTGGCTTGGAGCTGGGGCAGGGTGGCTGCAGGGGAGTTGAGACCAGTGGCCCAGGCATATTGTAACTGGTCGGTAATTCGGTGTCCCCTGGGCTGACTAGCTGTTCCAACACTGGGCCTCCCCCTGCAGGTGCATTTGTGCACCTGACGTATGCACCCACTAACCCTTGACTCCCGCACACTCACAGGGTCACGCATGGCCATGCAGGTGGGGTGTTTGCATCAGCCCTGCTCAGGCCACACAGGTGCACACACTTGGGTTCCAGGACTGAGCCCCAAGCCAGGCAAGGCAGTGACCGCACACACCACAGACATTCCTGCAAACTGGCAGTGCACGCACACACAGCTAGGCACACGCAGTGAGTGTTCAGGGGAGTGTGTGTGCCAGGCACAGGCATCAGGATGCACAGGTACCAACAGCCCCTTTCAATCTTACCCAGCCCCGGCCCGAAGCCTTTAAACCTTGTCTCCAGAAAGAGAACCCAAGGGATGTAGTTGGCAAGAAAAAGCTACGCACCTCTCCCCTCGAGCCCTGTGCGTCTCTCCAGGCCTGTGTGTGGCAGGAGAAGCCAGCTCTGGCCCAGCAGTGCCCACCTCTAGAGCTGGAGGGCCCACAGGCCATGGCCTTGTGCCGCAGCACCGCTGCTGGGGGGTACAGGGGGGAGCCTAGCGCCCCATCGTGGCATTCCCAAGGTGCACCAGGACGGGTATGCAGTCTGCCCAGGGAGCAGCCCAGGTAGCCTGCAAGTGCTCCCAGATACGGGTGGGTGGTGCTCACCACCTTGCCGTCAACCTTGCCATCGTGGGGGCAGCCAGTTTGTCCCATCAGCCCCTCCCCCTCCCTGTTGGCTTTTGGTAGCTCTCGCATGCTGTTTTATTAACAACAGTCTAGGAGCGATGCTCTAGTGGCCTAACCCAGAGTTAATACTACTCTTTTCAGCAAATTCAGGCAGCTGCCCCCCCCAAAGGAGGTGCTGATTAGCCTACTAACAGCCAAAGGCCCACACCGGAGGGCTGAGCCCCGGATGGGTTTGCAGGTGGCAGGTATCACAGAAGCGATTTCCAGTGAGCATCTCTGACCAGTGTGGACTCAGCCACATCCCTGCCAAGTCCTCCCCATCCCCCTCCTCCCCGAAGTGGAATTGTTGAAGTGTGGCAAGTCCGTGCTCGAGACAATAAAGCTTGTGACTGAGGTCCAGGACCTGTGCCGCGTCTGCTTCTCTCTGTCGGTGCCCTGGCTCCCAGCCTCTCCCAGCTTGTGGGTACGCTGGTGCCAGGACGTGGTCTCAGTCCTGTTCTGGGCGGGCTGCCTGCCGATTTGTCTCGGGTGTGAATGGCTGGTGAGGACCTCAGAGGGCCTGGTGTTGAAGACGTCCGGGGCTGAGCTGCCTTGTTTGGGTTTGAACGAATCTTGTTTGCAGCAGTTCTTTGAGAGGTGGAAGTTTGAACTTGAACCTCTTAGGTTTATAAGTGGGCCTGCAAGAAAAGAAAAATCCCCCAATATGCGAAATAGGGATGGGTCAGCCAACACCAGTTTGCTGAGTTAGGGAGAACACTTTCAAGTTCAGAGCCAGTTCTGTCCTACCGCCAGCTGTCTGTAGGTCGCATGAACAGTCAGCGTCTGCAGCTCTGTGGTCCTTTCACAGGCTTGTCCTTGAGGTGGCCTCCCTGGAAGTCGGAGCAGGCCCTCGCGGCTCCCAGCTGAGGGTCCAGGAGCACCTGCCATTCTCAGGAGCTGCATCGGCAGGTCCCGGGACAGCGGTGGGGCCTCAAGGGGGCACAGGGCCTGGAGGGAAGGGCCGTGTGTGCCGGTACGGACAGGACTAAGGAAACCCGCCAAGGGCTCTGGGAGCCATTCCTGCCCAAAGGGCAAAGCAGAGGGGCTGTGACTGGAATGGGGCCAACGTTGCAGCTGTGGGGGGACTCCAGCAGTGGGGTGGCCCCAGGAGCTGGAGGAGGAATACCCTGGCCTCCTCCCGCCCTCCCGATGCCTCTCCCGTTAGTTAAACCCAAAGCCAAGGCCAGGGGGCCTGTCGGGCAGGCGGGCGGGCGGGCGGGAGGCCAGCCCTGAGCCCAGCCAGGAGGGAGGGAGTGCAGAGCGGGTAGGAATGGAGTGCGATCAGCACAGTATCCATCACAAGATAGATTTAAACAGTGCCCTATTCTCTAGGTTTCTGCTGCCTTGAATATAAATGGTCTCTGTCCTTCCAGAACTTTCTTACCAGCCCAGCATCTGAAATTCAAAGAGCTGCTGCGAACACCACTCCTCTTCAGGCCGAACACCACTGTGACCTGTGGTTCCTTTCACCCGAGGCACCAGCTCAGCCCGGTCACTTGAGGTCAGGACACCAAATATGTGTGTGTGTGTGTGTGTGTGTGTCCCCTCCCAGGGACCGCTTGCTGCTGCAGGAGATAGAATTAGCTCAAGTTCGTGGAAACTCCGGGCCAGGGGCTGCGGTCAGAGGAGAGCAAGGCCCCTGCCCACGTGTGGCTCCCAGGCCAGCAGTCTAGCTCCGCGTCAGCTTCTGTGCAAAGGGTGCTGGGTGGGGGAGGACGGAGAGGGGAGTAGGCGGGACTGCCACAGGGAGAGAGGCGGCTGGCCTCCCAGGTGGGCGGGCTTCCCTGCTGTCACCAAGGCTGAGGGGCCAGGAACTGGAGGCCCGTGGCCATGGGCTTGGATCTCACCGAAGGAGCTTCCTGAGCTGTCTGCCCACGGAGCGCATCCAGGAGGCGCAGGACGAAGGAAAGCACCAGGAAGGAGGGGAGGCCTCAGAGGGGGAAGCGGGGCGCGAGGTGGCCATGACAGTCCACTCGCCAGAGCAGCCTTCAGTGGCATGTGGTGTGGGCCGCTTCGGGGAGGTGTGTACGGAACCCAAGGTCTGGAGGCAGCCTCCACCTTCAGAGCGGTAACCCTGGGAGAGGCTCTCTCCCAGGACCACCCTGCTGGGAGCTGGCCCTGGACACCTCTGGCCGTGTGGGCCAGGCCACTGCTCCTCTTGCTTGTGGGACGGAAAAGACAAAACCGATCTCAGGCAGGTGGAGTCCAGATGCTGGGAGAGATGGACACTGACAGCCACGTGGGTCAGCGCCCAGAGAAGCCCTTAGACCAGTGGTTCTCAACCTTCCTAATGCCGCGACCCTTTAATACAGTTCCTCATGTTGTGGTGACCCCCAACCATAAAATTATTTTCGTTGCTACTTCATAACTGTAATGTTGCTACTGTGATGAATCGTCATGTAAATATCTGATATGTAGGATGTATTTTCATTGTTACAAATTGAACATAATGAAAGCATAGTGATGAATCACAAAAACAATATGTAATTATATATGTATTTTCCAGCGGTCTTAGGCGACCCCTGTGAAAGGGTCGTTTGACCCCCAAAGGGGTCGCGACCCACAGGTTGAGAACCTCTGCCCTAGACTAAAGGCTCAGCCCAGTGGTTTCTCCCCTTCTCCCCTCCTACCAGGAAAGTTGCCCATTCTCCATCCAGGGGCCCCACCCCAGCTCGGTGGGCCCCTCAACAGTCCAGCAGATTGCTCAGCCAGCGTGGGAGGAGCCCCTCGCCCCTGCCCCAGGCACCCCTGCCCCAGGCACCCCTGCACTGACAGCTCAGGAGCCGCCCACAGGTCCAGGCTTACCTTATGCAGAGATGGGGCTCAGAGCCGGCCACTCAGACAGAGAGTGTCCCCACACCAGCCCTGCATTGACTTTCCTAATGTTTAAAATTTCAGGTAATTTCAGACTTAAAAGAATTGCAAAAATAGTGTAATTCCTGTATCCCCTTCACCACCTTCCCCTCCCGTTACTCTCTTGCACAACCACAGTTCAGTGACCCAGACTGGAAAGCTGACATTGATAGGGCACACCTGGCGGAAGCACACACTTGGGATTTCATTAGTTTTCCTCCGATGTCCCTTTGCTGTCCCGGGATCCCATCCAGGACCCCGCACGGCACGCCTGCGTCACGTCTCCTCCATCTCCAACCTGCAACAGTTTCTCCGACCTCCCTGGTCTCTCACAACCTCGACACATCTGAAGAGCCCCGAACAGTGATTTTGTTGCACGTCCCTCCGTTAGGTTCGTCTGGTGTTTTCTCGGGATTAGACCGAACGCAGAGGTGCCGTGCCCTCGGGCGCACCGTGTTGGGGGAGCCCCATTCCGGTCATTGCCAGTGACGGTCACTAAGCCAACGTGCGGAGGGTTCTCCAACGTCCACACAAAGACGCGCACACAGCCGTTCATAGCGGCATTACTCACAGTGGCCAAGAAGGGGACACAGCACCGATGCCCATCAGTGGAGGATGGATAAAGTATAACACAGCCACACGATGAATGTTATTTGGCCGTAGAAAGGAATGAAGCCCTGATACGTGCTGCCATGTGGCCACACCTCCGTGAGGGGAGGCCTGGGGTCTGCCCGCCTTTGCCTCCATCCAGCTCCAGGCCTGCTCGGTTCTCTGGGGTGCTGTAAGGGGGTGAGGGGGTGAGTGTCCTTATCTGGAAGGACCAAGGAACCCCCTGCTTCGCCATTACTCTGACATCTAATGACAAAGCCGTCCAGACCACACTCAAGCTGACATGCAGTGGAAAATACCCCGTCGGATTCCCCTTTTACGCGATATTCTCTAGGATGGAATCCAGAAGACAAGACGTCTCAGACATTTTAAAATGAGCCCTGTGGGCAGAAGAAACCCTCGCAGGGTGTTGAGCTTTACTTTAGTGCTGGCTGTGCAAGAAAATCCAATGCGATCGATTAAATAAAAACCGGAAGGAAAAGGGCAGCTACAGAATGGAAAGGAAGCAGGAGCCCAGACGCAGTTAATTGACGGCGCTCCATTACGACTGACGAGTTCTTAGGCTGGAAGGCCAGGTTTGATGCAGGACTCTTGGAAATTAAAAAAGAAATGAGTGGAAAAAGAACAAGAAGGGGAAAAGTAATTAGGTGGGAAGCAGCGATTCAAAACCGATCATGACCGCCTGGCCAGCGTGGCTCAGAGGTTGAGCGTCGACCTATGAACCCGGAGCCCCAGGTCCGATTCCCATCAGGGCGCACGCCTGGGTTGCAGGCTTGACCCCAATGTGGGGCGTGTGGGAGGGAGCCAGTCGGTGATTCTCTCTCATCATTGATGTTTCTCCCTCACTCTCTCTTCCTTTCTGAAATCAATAAAAACATATTAAAAAATAAATAAATAAAACAGATCATGATCTTCACCCACCCGATATCCAGTTGCAGGAGGTGCTGCAGACGGCGGAGGGCCGCGCGGCGCTGGGCCAGGACACGGGTGACTTGGGGCGAGAGGGCGAGGAGGACGGTCCAGGCTACAACCCGCCCATCAGAGTAACCAACGGCCCGTCCCCACCGGCAGGCCGATGGCAGGGCGTCTGAGGCTATGCTGACAGGGTCTTTATCTTCTGTTCTCTTTTTTTCTGAGAAAAAAATAATTTTAGGAAAATATTCTTCTGATAACATTCATCATCAAACTCCATAAACTGACCTTAAAATTTCAAATAAAAGGAAGAAACAATGACTCCCAGGTTAGACGGAGAACCCACCACACAGCGTCTGCCGACTTTCCAAAGTAACGACCACGAGGACGGATGGAGTGGGAGAGAGCCGGGCACGAGGGCTTCGGGGGTGTCCCCGAACTGAGGTCGTTATTTTTTAAATGTCGCATAGGAGACTGATCCGTTATAGTAATTTGAGGGGTGTGAGGAATATTGTATAACACTTTCTTTATAAACTTAGTGCCCAGATTGGTGAATGTGCGTGTGAACCAGTGGAATCACCACTAAGATTTAAAAAAAGAACATTTCCAACTCCAAGCAGGCTCCTTCCGCCCCTCCCAGCCCACACTCGCCCTCCCCACTAAGAAATAAGCAATATCTCTGCCTCCGTCATCACAGGGGAGTGTTGCTCGTGTGCCGTTTGGGGTCACATGGCACCTCTGAGATCCGCCCCTTTCTTGTGTGTGGTAATGATCCACCCTTTCTCATTGCTGTGTGGTATTCCATTGTGCAGTAAACCACAGCTCAGCCGTCTATTCCCCTCCCTTTGGCATTGTTTGTTATTTTTTAAACTGTGATATGATTAACATGGGACATGTTATTAGTTTTAAGTGTACAGCACAATGATTGCATATTCGTATATATTGTGAAATGATCACCACGGTAAGTGTAGTTTACACCCATTACCTCA